ACAATTTTGACAGATTTTGACAGTTCGGTACAAAGGGGCAGAAATCATCGGACTCAGTTTTTTTAATTTCGATTTCGTTTTCGGGCCATTTAGATTAAAAGGCGAAAAAAGGTGTAAAAATAAGCTATTTACAACCCATCCACCGTCTTCATATTTCAAAATATTTCATCGTAACTTTCATAACCTCGTAGCAATAACCCATACAAAGAGAATGTATGTCAAAGTTAGTTTGTAATATCAGCAGTTGCCGAGAAATAGGCAATTTTGCATGAGTCACATTTCGTGTTATTATTATTATTCAATTATTATTCAATTTTCAATTTTCCTTCACCATTTGATGCTTAATGCCACGTTTGACTAGATTAAGCCATTTTAACACCTTTTCTGTCACCGGAAGTGACGTCATCTGGGCAAAAACTGAATTTTAGCCTTCAAAACTGATATTTTTTTTCAAGTGAGTCGTATATGTTATTTGTTGAAAGGTATGATATTTAATTTCAATCAACAAATAGAATGAATCCATACGACCATACAGATACCACAAAATAGGTTCTAACTTGTAAGGTTGCAGAGAAATAGACGATTTTCTACGGGTCATTTTTCAAGGTTTTTGGTCTATAACAATGTCAATTATTATTCGATTTTCATAAAATTTTCACCTTGTGATGCCTTATGCCATTTCTGATTTCATAAAACTAATTTAACATTTTCATTCTCACCGGAAGTAATGCAATTTTAGCAAAAACTGTATTTTTAACCTTCAAAACAAATATTTTTTTGAAGTGAGTTATAATCTGTATTCGTTTAACATTATGATATTTCATTCCAATGGAAATATAGATTGGATCAATACGATCATAAATATGTCAAAAAAAATAGCTTCTAGCATCTTCTCTTGGAAAGAAATAACCAATTTCGTCAGGATCACTTTTTACGACTTTTCGCATTTTTATTACAGTTCTAAATTAATTATTTATTGCCTGATTTGTATAAAACAAAAGCTCATATACTCCTTGGTGCAAATTCTCAACGTAATTTTGCCTAAAATTTAAATTTTTACGGGTCGGGAGGTCTTTTTTCTAAGGAAAAATCTTAATTTCTACAAATCTTATCAATGAAGATGAATGTTCCTACTACAGGCGCAAAATATGTCGGGCTTAGTTTTGGGGGTTTTTTTATATCGGTTTTGTATTAGTGCCATTTTGATTTAAGGGTGAAAAAAAGGAGTAAAAATCAGCTATTTACAACCCATTCATCGTCTTCATATTTTAAATTATTTCTACGCAACTTTCATAATTTTGTAGCATTAATCCATACGAGGACAATGAATGTCAAAATTAGATTGTAATATGCGCAGTTGCCGAGAAATAGGCACTTTTGCATGCGTCACTTTTCACGTTATTTTGAATGTAAAAGAGTCAATTATCGTTCGATTTTCAATTTTTGTTACCATGTGATGTCTCATGCCACCTTTGATTAGGCCAATCCAATTTAACATTTTCACTGTCACTGAAAATGACGTCAATTGGAGGAAAACAGTACTTTTAGCCCCCAAAACAGATATTTTATTCAAATGAGTATGATTAGTAATGTTTTTAAAATTATGATATTTGATTCCAATCAACAAATAGAATGAACCCATACGACCATACAGATATCACAAAATGGTTTCTAACTTGTTTGGTTGCAGAGAAATAGACGATATTCTACAAGTCATTTTTCAAATATCTATAAAAGTGTCTTATGTCATTTATAATTTCATAGAATTAATTTAACAATTTTATTATCACCGGAAGTAATGTAATTTTGGCAAAAACTGTATTATTAGCCTCCAAAACAATTGTTTTGAAGTGAGTTATATTTTATTTATCATTCGTTTAACATTATGATATTTGATTCCAATGGACATATAGATTGGATCAATACGATCATATAGATGTCTAAAAATTCCTTTTAGCATCTTCCCTTGTCGAGAAATTTCCCATTAAAAAGTCAGCTAACTTAGCGGTAACAAATTTTGTCAGGATCACTTTTTTGCCATATGTAACACATGGTAACAAATGTATAAATGAAATTGATATTGCTGAGTAACTGGCACCGGAAGTGACTTAAGTTCAAGGGTAACGTGGCACCAGTGAAACCCGTCATTACTGCATCGCAGTTCTAGTTTTAAATATTATTTTAATTGTATATATTTTTCATTGTTGTATATATTATTGGCTGGTAGCAATAAATGTAAGAATTAGACAGTTTTTTCCTCGCATGATGGAGTTACGTTGATATCCAGTAGAAACCCCCCCCCCCCCCGCCCCTTGTCAACGGCGCGTGATAGAAGACCTGGCAGGGAACAGCTTTCGGATGGAATAAGAACGAACTACTCTTCAATGAATTCCGACTTTCACGGGATCTTTTACGTGCACGCCGATGTGTACACGGGACCTCGATTTTTTAATCCCACTGAACGCCGGAAAATCGCGATAAACTTTCACGTACACCGCGAGGGTCAAACCAGTGCCATGTTAATGCTCTGATGGCTCTAAGGCATATTTTGATAGGTGGTCTGGAAATACAGATATTTTGGGTTCACCGATAATAGGAAAAAGTTAAATTTAACAACAGAAAATTTATTACCAAAAAATTCAGCTGTACTTGTCAGGCCCTCCGTCATGCATCACTGACAAGTGAGAACAACGCCGGACAATCTGGATGAACTTTCTCTGCCAATGCAGGGATCGAACAGCCGACCTCCAGGCTAGCGAGCCAGCTTCTTACCCACTTATAGCCACTGTGATCCCCACGCGTAGATGAAGAAAGATGCCATTTATTTACATTGAAATAAAGGGAAGCAGTTTTGTCATCACCTGATAATTTTCAAAAATTTTACTTTATATTTTTGTGGTCTGGATTTTTGGCTGGGTCATTCGCCTAAGGGTTAATCTGGCACGGGGTCGAACACGGGACTTCCAGGTTAGCGAGTCAACGTCTTAACTACTGAGCCACAAAAGGTATTGGAGAGAAAGTCTATTGATAACTTTTGCACTATATTCGTTAAAATAAGATTAACGCGTATGAAAAAATAATTCCGTAATCAACGGGACAATTAGAGATACCCAGGTAGATCAATGTACAACGTTCATTTCTTTACTAATTTATTCACTTTTAATAAGTTTACCTCTAGACATCATGTTGGTATCTAAAAGCTGATTATTTCATTTTAATGTGCAACTGCATCCAATTTCTCCATAAATGTGACGTCGTGTCGCGATGCCCAACAGCAAAATTCCCTAATATTCTAGTTCAAATTCATATTGTCAACAGCTATTGAAGGGCTTCATAACTGTTAATAACCCCCTAATCATGCAGTATCAGTGCTTATTAGTAGCTAATTACCTTGTTATGTTTGTTGTTATTGTTAAATATCCTTTACACCTTGATTATTTCTATTACTGTTATTCTTAATCCACGCAGATGGTTACTTATTAATTTCATATATATTGTCCACAAGTTTACTAAATTGTCATTTGTGCTTGATAACGATAAGAGGATACTTGTCGAAACGTCGTGCTTTTAGAATAAACTAGTGATTGTATCCCATAAAAACTGTGTTCTGTTAACAGCTATTATATTTCATATTGTTAGGTCAACTGTATGAATGTAAACTATTTCGACACACTAAATAAAATCTTCCTTGTAGAAACCCAGTGCTATATATAGCCATGATGACACAACCACAGTCATGTGCTCATATCAAATAGATGACCCCATCTATAGGTCACTGGCGGCCCTTCTAGTCGCACCCACTCTATGGGTTCACTCCCCAGGCAGATGTTTGAAACATTGACTGTAAATGGTGCATTTTATGTATAGGGCAAGATTATCTACATGTATGGCAATGTTTAGGGACCGTCTGTGTACAATAAGTAACCACCAGAATTAAAATAATTCGAAAAGTCTTGTGGAAACTGATACCCATCATGGGTCAGGGAAGATATTTTGTTACACCACTGTGTACAATAAGTAACCAACTCTGAGTCGAAAGTCTTGTGGAAACTGGTACCCATCAAGGGTCAAAGAAGATATTTTGTTACACCACTGGATAACATACAATTGTAGAATACATGGCGATGTGAGGGGCACACCACAGGGTAACATACTATTGTAGAATACATGGCGAAGGGCACACCATAGGGTAACATACTATTGTAGAATACATGGCGAGATGAGGGCCACATCACAGAATAACATACTATTGTAGCATACATGTCGAGATGAGGGGCACACCACAGGGTAACATAGAATACATGGCGAGATGAGGGGCACACCACAGGGTAACATACTATTACAGAATACAACCTATTCTACAATACATGGCGAGATGAGGGGCATGAGAGGATATTTAGAAATACGTCCCAACTTGCCCCCCCCCCCCGCCATAACCACGTACACCACGTACACCACTACACCTAATCAGCATAGAACTGTTCCATTGACCATGACATTTAATTAATGCAATCATTAGCCTATTTCTATCGGAGATTACCCGTTACATATTTTGACTTTATACCCCTCCCCCACCTTTCCCGATACAAGTGTTTGAACTATTGTCCTCTCCGCGACCCACAATTTTCAGATCCGCCGCCTACTGACGTAAGAGGGGCACACCACAGGGTAACATACTATTGTAGAATACATGGCGAGATGAGGGGCATGAGATGATAATCAGAAATAAGTCCCAACTTGACCCCCCCCCCCCCCCCGCCATAACCACACACACCACTACACCTAATCAGCATAGAACTGTTCCATTGACCATGACATTTATTAATGCAATCATTAGCGTATTTCTATCGGAGATTACCCGTTACATATTTTGACTTTATATTCCCCCGTCCCCTCTCCCGATACAAGTGTTTGGACTATTGTCCTCTCCGCGACCCACAATTTCTAGATCCGCCGCCTACTAACGTAAAAGGAAATATTTCAGATCTATTGAGGTTCAGTATTAACACAGGTACACTACTGTTTACTGCATATACGTTGTCAAGATGGCAGCGAATCATCAACAGATTTGTACGCTCTGTTCGGAAGAATTTACTCAACCTAAGATTCTTCCTTGTTATCACACATTTTGCCAGAACTGTCTAGAGGATCATATGAAGGCGCACGTTCATCTCAACAAGTTCTTCTGTCCTGTTTGTAGAAAAGACACGGAAGTTCCAAAAGACGGGGCCAGTGGATTTACAGCCAATTTCTATGTCGTAGATAAGAATGATAAGCAGAGATGTCCACTACATAAACAAATGGTACTTAAATTTTATTGTCGTGATTGTTCCAAACCTGTCTGCTATGACTGCAATGTCGTGGGTCACGAAAACCACAAGAAAGTCGATCTTGAAGTTGTTGGGGTAGAAGCCAGGGAAACGCTGTCAACTCTAAAACAGACACTGACCAAATTGCTTCAAGATATACAAGTTTTCTGTGATACACTTACCCACCAGATAAAGGATATCAAATACTCAGGCGTAAAAGCCCGTACAGATGTCGATATACAAGTGGCAAAAATTTGCACCACAGCCAAACAGCATGGCGAGAAAGTGAAACATGACATTAAGAACAGAGAGGATGAAGAAATTGCCAAGGCCATGAAATTGCTGGATGACATGAAACATGTCCAAGATCAACTGCGGGAGAATGTACAATGTTCAGATGATTTGTTGAAGAGAGAAGCAACTATTCCAGTGATAGATGCTTTACCTGCGGCCCAAGCGTTGACAGACGAAGTTAAAGTCAAACATTTAGACTTCCCGGAGATGAGGCATCCATATTTTCCCAAGTTGAAGATAGACGAACAGTGCTTACAGCAGCAAATTGGCCAAATGAAAACCATATCGTCAAAAACTTTCACATCGACTTTTAGTGCCGGTTTGATGGATGAAACAGATCGGTCGTGTGATGGTGGTAGCGTACAGATACAAGGGCTGCCATGGAATGTGCGTGTACAACATAACATAGCTAAATCAACATTAAGTATGTTCTTGAAGCTGGGAAATACAGGTGATGAAAATGTCAAGTCCTGTAAAGTTCGTTACACCTTCAAACTGATTAACACGTTGGATGACAGCCAGTCTACAGTACGCACGACTGACCACACATTTACACCAGACGGTGGCAACTGGGGCTGGATTGATTTCAAGGATTGGAATTTCGTTCAGAATAAGGAAAATTATATTGTGGATGTTGACGACATGTTTACTGTTCAGACAACAGTAAAAGTATTAAACATAGAACAATAAACTGAACATGTAGGACTGGAATTACCCAGATGGTATTCACTCGGTGGTAGGTTTGTTCTACAAAGAACACCATCTCTTTTATTTTAGAATATCCCCTAATTAACCAAGTACTAAATATTCATATAAAATAGTTAGTGTTTTATGTTTTTTTATGAACTATATATATATATATGTATTCGTAATTTACATTTATTTTGTATGTAAACGTTTTCAGTTTTCATCGTTGGGTGTGTTATTGGCGTGTAGCATTAAACTTAAGAAGTTGATCCATTTTGTTTATTTGCCTGTAATATTATTTGATTCTCATCCAACTGTATTCACTTTCTCCATAAATGCATAAATGTGACGTCTGGTCGATGCCAACCAGAGCAAATTTTACAAAATTTTTGAATCAAATTAATATAATATAGCTATTTTATCATTTCATATTGTCAGGTCAACTGTATATATAATGTGTGGAAACTATGACAACAGGCCAAATAAAATCTTCCTTGTAGAAACCTGGGCGCGAGAAATTGTTTGAAAAACTGACTATAAATAGTGCTTTCTATATGTACACGACAAGGTTGTCTAAGTTTATGACAAGGTTTGGGGGCGTCTGTGTAACACTAGTGCTTTTATTCTTTTTTCATGGAACCACTTTTACATATATATACATAAATATCTGAAGACGTTCGATAAAGAGCTGACAAATATCTGAAGACGTTCGATAAAGAGCTGACTATTATGATTTGATGTATATATCAGAATAAAGAAGTAAAATTGGGGGTATTTTTGTTTATGTATTTATCTACCGTAAACATAGAAGTATTTGCACTTTATCTACTATGATATATATTGCTAGGGGTGGTTTAATATTTATTTTTATTGTATATTCACTGTTATATATTATTGGCTTGTAGCATTAATTGTAAGAAGTGGACATTTTCCCCCTCGCATGATGGAGTTACGTTGGCTAACTACCCAGTAGAACCCGCATTCATCCACGGCATTGATTGAAAAAGTTTCTGGGTTTTTTTCCAGGGTGGTTCCCCCTTTGCCAATGGTGCGTGATATTAAAATACAGATCTATATTTCGTTTCGTTTTTTTATACTTTCGATGGCCTACACTACATGAAGATCTGACAAATTATAGCGATAGGTCACGTCAGGTGTCAAAAGACCGATTTTTGACCTATGACGTCAGACATTTGATAAAACAATCAGCATTGATGTTACTAGTGGATTTCCCACAAAAGGTCAAACACTCGATTCGACAGACCATTTGATTGGCTGACCCCTCATTTCAAGCAGAACACGAGTTAAATAACAAGTCTTCCAGATGCACGTGTAGTAAAGACAAGTAAAACGAAATTTTGAACTATAAAAACGAAACGAAATAGGATCTGTGTTTTAACCAGATTGCCTGCCAGTGAACAGCTTTGGGATGGAACAAAAACTAATCTCCAACTTTGAAGGGATCTTTTACGTGCACGCCGATGTGTACAAGGGACCTCGGTTTTTTCATCCCAACGTACATTGTCCTTTGCCAGGCCCTCCGTAATACACCACTGACAAGAGGGAACCACGTCGGAAAATTACGATAAACTTTCATGTAAAACATGTGCAACTGACTGCAACTAGTTGCTTTGAGTTGTAAGAGGCGCTCAGGTCGACTTTTTTCAGTTGCATTCAGTTGCTTTCAGTTGCTCCCAGTTGCCGAAACGCCAGTTGCTTTCAGTTGCAAGGTCGACATAAGCCCCCCTTAAAAAGCCTTCAAGGCCAAACGCGTAGATGAAGAAGGGTGTCATTTATTTACATATAAATAAAGGGAAGCAGTTTTGTCATCACCTGATAATTATCAAATATTTTAATTTATTTGTTTGTGGCCTGGATTTTTGGCTGGTCCTAATAAGGCACGTGCCTTATGTAGGGTTTTGGCCGAATCAAATGAGAAAGTATATTATAATAATATCAAACATCTGAAAGATTACAGTTCATTACACACATGATATTATACGATAAAGGCAGCTTAACATATTACCGTAAAGTTATTAAAGAGATGTACAATGCATACCTGTATAAAGCAATACACACACTTATTCGCCTATATAATGGTTAATCTGGCACGGGGTCGAACACGGGACTTCCAGGTTAGCAAGTCAACGTCTTAACCACTGAGCCACAAAAGGTATTGATAACGTTTGCACCATATTCGTCAAGTTAAAATGCTGTAATCAACGAGACAATTAGAGATACCCAGGTATATCAATGTACAACGTTCGAGACCATTAAACAACTTAAAATACGCCAGTTGACAACCACGCCAGTTGACAACACAGAGTATAAAAAGCCGTCAAGGACAAACGCGTTGATGAAGAAGGGTGTCATTTGATTACATTAAGGGAATCAGTTTTGTCAACACCTGATAATTACCAAATATTTTGATTTATTTTTTTGTGGCCGGGATTTTTGGTTGTCCCTAATAAGGCACGTGCCTTATATTATGTAGGGTTTTGACCGATCAAATGAGAAAGTATATGATAATAATATCTGACATCTGACAGATTACCAGTTATCAACAGTTTATGACCCACATGATATATACGATAAAGGCAGCTTAACATATTACCGTAAAGTTATTAAAGAGATGTACAATGCATACCTGTATAAAGCAACACACACACACACTTATTCGCCTAATGGTTAATCTGGCACGGGGTCGAGCACGGGACCTACAGGTTAGCGAGTCAACGTCTTAACCACTGAGCCACAAAAGGTATTGATAACTTTTGCACTATATTCGTCAAAATAAGTTAACATGCCGTAATCAACGGGACAATTAGATATACCCAGGTAGATCAATGTACAACGTTCGAGACTATTAAACAACTTAAAATACAGACACTACCCCGCACGTGCTTTTCAATGAAATGCGTCACGCGAGTCCAATAGTTCATCTAGTATAGATAATGTACGATTAGCAAGATGCCCGTACATAATTGGAAATAATGTTACGCCAACAACAAAGGATGGTGCCACATCTGAATTTTAATTCATTTTAATGCGCAACTGCATCCAATTTCTCCATAAATGTCACGTTGCAATGCCCAACAGAGCATAATTCCCTAAAATTCTAGTTCAAATTCATATTGTCAACAGCTATTATATTTCATATTGTTCGTTCAACTGTATGAATCGAAACTATGACGACAGACTATAAATAGCCATGATGACACAACCACAGTCATGGGCTTATATCAAATAGATGATCCTATGTATAGGTCACTGGCGGCCCCTCAAGTCAACTCCCCAGGCAGATGTTTGAAACATTGTCTGTAAATGGTGCATTTTATGTATAGGACAAGGTTGTCTACATTTATGGCAAGGTTTAGGGACCGTCTGTGTACATTAAGTAACCACCAGAATTAAAATAATTCGAAGTCTTGTGGAAACTGGTACCCATCAAGGGTCAAAGACGATATTTTGTTACACCACTGGATAACACACTATTGTAGAATACATGGCGAGATGAGGGGCACACCGCAGGATAACATACTATTGTAGAATACATGGCGAGATGAGGGGCACACCACAGGATAGCATACTATTGTAGAATACATGATGGCGAGATGAGGGGGACACCACAGGATAACATACTATTGTAGAATACATGGCGAGATGAGAGGCACACCACAGGGTAACATACTACTGTAGAATACATGGCGAGATGAGGGGCACACCACAGGATAGAATACTATTGTATAATACATGGCGAGATGAGGGGCACACCACAGGATAGCATACTATTGTAGAATACATGATGGCGAGATGAGGGGGACACCACAGGATAACATACTATTGTAGAATACATGGCGAGATGAGAGGCACACCACAGAGTAACATACTATTGTAAAATACATGGCGAGATGAGGGGCACACCACAGGTAACATACTATTCTTGAGGGGCACACGACAGGGTAACATACTATTGTAAAATACATGGCGAGGTGAGGGGCACACGACAGGGTAACATACTATTGTAGAATAGATAAAAAAAAATAATTGTAGAATACGTGGCGAGATGAGGGGCATGAAATGATAATCAGAAATAAGTCCCAACTTCCCCCACCCCCGCTCTTACACACGCACGCCACTACACCTAATGAATCAGCATAGAACTGTTCCATTGACCATGACATTTAATTAATGGAATCGTTAGCCTATTTCTATCGGAGTTTACCCGTTACATATTTTGACTCTATATACACTCTCCTCTCCCGACACACATTATGTTACTAAACGTCCGACTAATACGTCCAGTGAGCAACCACCACATTGAACGGGTTTGGCTAGGCGAAAAGTGTTTGGACTATTGTCGCCTCCGCGACCCACAATTCCAGATCCGCTGCCTACTGACGAAAAAGAAAATATTTCAGATCTATTGAGGTTCAATATTAAAGGACAAGATCAAAAGTTGTTACATGAGACTGTGAGAGGATATCTGACAATTCAAAACAGAAATTGGCTGTCACTAGAAACGAGAAAATATAGAAAAAGTCCGTGCATTACCATGTTTTTATTCATTCTATACTTCTTCTATTTTTCTCGTGTTCTCTTATCTAGGCGTGGCAATTGGGGATGGATTGATTTCAAGGATTGGGTGGTTCAGAATAAGGATCATTATATTGTGGATGGTAAAAACACGTTAACCGTTCAGGCAACCGTTAATATTGTCAACATAGAAAAGAATCTGTGTACTGAATAAACAGGACTGGAATTACCCAACATTTGAAATGGTGTGCATTCGATGGTTGGCGTGTTCTTAAAAGAACACCACCAAGCTTGATAATCTAGAAGGAGTCAATGCGTTGTCTTTATTGTTGTTTATTCCTTTCATGAATTATTTATACATATAGAATAACAATTTACATTTTGAAATTATTACCTGATGTTTATCTAATATGAACCCGATTTTGACATGTACACCCAGTTGATCCTTTGTGGTGACATATTTTTAGTTATAATATGCGTATAGTATTGTTAATTAATATTTCGTTGATAATATCTAGTATGTCATCCTTGGTATTATACAAATCAGTTAAAAGATTAATTTAAAGGGACAATAACACTCTTGCTGGCTTGAAAGCTCCAGAAAATAAATAATATCTCTATCTAAGAACTAGATGTTTAAGTGTCCTATATGTTGTGTAAATTATCCATTACATCCCATTTTACTTGTCCAGAGGGTTGGAAAATATTTTTAAATCGAAGTTTCATTTGAAAAGGTTTACGTTAGACGTTTCAAACCATTATGTTGAATTTTTCAAAATTTTTAAATAAGGTGTGTTAAGCTGAAATTTGTATCATCAATTAATTGAAATATTCTAAAATAGTACAATTTGTTGACCAGAATAAAGATTGGGACATATTATTCAGTTACAACAAGAGTGGTATTGAGCCTTTAAGTATATGCGGGTTATGTAACAGAAAGTTTCAATACATATAGACATAAATAAAATAAAACCAAGTACAAACAATCTAAACTATTAGACAAAATTCGAAGTCCTAAAAAAACGGTATAGGCAAATAGTATTAACAAATAGGTACATGCTTATAATATGGAAAACCACAGAATACATATAAAGAGATAAGCTTATAGAAGAAAAAAAAACGTTTTTAACATAAGATATTTGAAGTAGATTTAAGGTAAAGAAGAAGTTTGGTCCCTTCAAGGCGTAATTACTGCTTTTAATTATATTCATATTTGGAATGGGGGGGGGGGGTG